GAGAGAGAGAGAGAGAGAGAGAGAGAGAGAGAGAGAGAGAAAAGAGCGACAGGAAAAACACTGGAATGCAAGGTTTTAGTGGCAGCATACTCTAGATATTTTACACCAGCCTTTTACAGCCTCCTGGTGCCCTACAAATGCATTGAACTGCAACTCCCATCATTCTCCGTCAGTGTGGAAGAAGCCACTTCAGAGTATTTGTATTAGTGAATGGTGTCAATCCCAGACAGAAAGGCTAGCTGGAAGCAGCCTTCTTTCTCCAAAAGATCAACACCAAGATAGGTCTTTTCCTAAGTAGCACTGTTCTGCTGTTGGGTTGGGCCCTCTTGCGTCAGGATGTAGGATTCAGTAATACCTAATGGATTAGTGCTGCTTCTGCTGCCTATCGGTATGGTCTGAAGTGATTCACATCTCTTTGCTGTGATTTGAATGCGGCAAAAAGGTGCTGTTGTTGTTTTTTGAAACTGTATATTAATTGGCACCCTTGCAGTGATGTCTGCCTTATCACCCAACAGTCTTTTGTGAGTGACAACTGCTAAGGCAGTGATCCAGTCTGTATGCATTTCAGATCCCTCTGGGACAGATTGCATCCTTGCCCAGCCTCTGTTATATCACATACATTTGCCAGTTTGAGGTTAACACTTTGTGCATCTGTTCAAATAGACAGTGTCCACAAAAGCATATGCTTGAATACATCTCTTAGTTTTTAAGGTGCCACAAGACTGTTGGTTTTGCCACAACATATTCTAGATTCTTTAGAACAGCCTCCCACTACTAATACAGCTACATCTCTGAATTCTGTTTGTAACACTTTTTATTTATTAAATGCATTTTTATACTGCTCAGTGGCCCAAAGGCTTCACAGTTTTCTTTTATATATACCAATTGCTCTTAGGTTTGTGTGTCTACATTATTTTGAGATATGCATTTTTACCATAGAGCCTATCAAAAAGATGATACAGAAAGCCAAGGATTTTACTTTTCATGGTAGAGTGGTGGCAGCTGGGATCCAGTGCCAGAGCTAAAATATTTGCTCCTCACATAAATCATAGGGAAAAGCTAACTTTTGTTGCCAGATGGCAAGCTTTGCTGCTGTGTGTATGTGGAAATAGCTTGTTTGTTTGTTTAAGTCAAAGCTTCAGAATTGTTGCACCACTGCAGAGACTATAGGATAGCCTTCATCAATTTGGTGCCCTCCAGACATCTTGAACTACATTTCCTGTGATGTTGATCGATTTCATTTCTAAAGCACGCAATAGCAGAAACTGCGAGTTTTAGTCCAAAGCATCCAGAAGGTGTAATTCAAGATGGCTGGTGGACTGGTCCTAGTAAAAAAGCAGCAAGCCTTCCCCATAAATGCCACTGTCTAGACCAGGGGTCAGCAACCTTTAACACTCAAAGAGCCATTAAACGTTTGGTTTTCTTCAGAAACTGTTCTTCGATTTATCCATGGTTGGCCTACGGGGGTGGGGGGGCTCAGTAAATCGGGGCAGGTCTGCAGATCGGAGGCTGTGCTGGAGATATAGGTGTGTTTAGTGACTGATTAGCAGATAAACAGTCAAGTGCTGTGAATTGTGACAGGTCCCAAGCACAGCTTTTAACATTCAGATGAAGGAGATTACACTGGGACAAAGAGAATCTTTTCAGCAGTTTTCATTTCGTGTAACATGAGAGCCTGTGGGAAGCTTGTTTAGCAGAGGAATGTAGCGATTTACTTAACTAGCTGCTTTACTTAACTAGCTAGCTCTGCCTTCCTGAGCGGAGCTACAGCAGATCATGAGCTGTGGCGGTGGGTGTTTTGAGCGACGGAGCCGCAGCAGAGGGGTTCAAGAGCCACGTGCAGCTCTGGAGCCGCGGGTTGCCGACCCCTGGTCTAGACCAACATTTGGGAGATCAACAGGGGAAGCATTACAGAAGAACAGGTTTGTAACAGTGAAAAGGGGAAGGAAAAACTTGACAGCTACATGAAGACAAGCACGTCTGGGATCCCTGTCATAGGAAGCATAATCTCAGCAACAGGCACAGTGACTCAGCTTTGTGGTGGAAATATGCTGAAGAGCAGGAATGACTGTCAGGGATCCTCTGTTTTATGAACTGTGGACTCTGTCTGGGATAACTATCCCGCAAGACAGCCCTAACGTATAAAATGAAGGAAATGCAATGCAGAATCAGCAATATTTCTGTGTTTCTTTTTATTTGTTGTATGCGTTGTATTGAAATCTAAAAGGACTTGAATGAGAGGTTTTCCTTCAAATTCTTCACCCTCCTTATATTTAGAGGCTGCTTTTTCAATTAAAGGCTTCGATGAGGTTTAAGGGAAAAAAACAAAACTAAAAGACCCAATACATCACCATTAAAAAAACATCACAAATAAAAACACAGGCATGAAGCAGCAGGACATTGCAGGTAAAATGCAACTTAAAATAAATAAAAATCAATCATTCATATTTGGGGCAACAAAACTGAGTCCACAGTCAAGGCTGGGCAGAATAAAGTAGATTCTGCTGCTCAACAGAAGAGGAGCCTGCAATCGAGGAGCCATATGGACTTCTAGGGAGGGAGTTTCGCTCGGGCACTGCAACTGAAAAGGCTTCCTCTTGGCTCACCACCAAATGCACCTCTGAAAGATGGATCTGATAGGCAGGCTGGATGGCTGTGGAGGCAGTCCTTAAGAGTTCCTGGGCCCAAACTATATAGGGCTTTAAAGGGCACAGCATGTTGCATTGTGCCTAGGAACCAGCGGGAAGTGAATGGAAAGTGGCAGTGAAGAACCTAGACTTTTTAATCGGCACTCCAGACCATGGTGCTTTCAAACAAAGGGATTCTAGTGCTCCCAGTTCTTCCATCTTCTTCTACTTAATGGATTTTCTGCAGTAAGAAAAAAGAAGCAGTGCTGGATCAACATAGGATAGTTACAAGCAGAAGGTGACAACACCTGCACCCATGATAAATTTCATCAAATTTCATCATCAAATTTATCATGGGTGATGGCATGATAGAAAGATAGCATCCAGAAGCATCCCCCAATTAACCACAGCTTTTGGCCAAACACTTTTCAAAGACAGTCTCAATAACTGTGTAAGATGTACCAGTCCACTATGACGGGTGGAGAAGTTGAGGGCCTTCAGCTCATGTTGGGTTCCTATCATTCCTACCTATTGGTCATGTTGGCTGGGGCTGATAGGAGTTGTAATCTGATAGGGGTGTTGGTAGGCCTGGCCCTGAATCTATTTCCCAGGACCCTGGGGCTATTCCACATAGTTCTGAAAGTTCATTGGTGCTGATGGAAGTTTTTGCCCTGGGATTAATTGCCATTCAGAGGGCAATTTTCAAGGGAGGTTGCAGGTGGGGACAGAAGAGTTAACTCTGGTCTTCTCACAGGCAACAATCTGCCCAGTCCCAGAAAAATCTTTCTCTGTATGACAATTATGCTCAGAAAAAATGTTTTCCATTGGTTTGGGGTGAACTGGGACAGGGTAACACTTAACTGAAGAGTTTATTTTATTTCAGAGTATTTGGATAAGAAATTAATTGGTTGGCATTGCCTCCTGTGAAATTTAAACAAATCAATGTAATCCTTTCTAAATTTGCATATCCAAATGTAAATTAGCATAGGCAGAATTTTGTCGCATGAGTTTGGGACCCAAATCTACAATGCCAGGAGTCTAGCAACATTTAGAGGCACACAGGTTCCCCACCCCTGGCCACCAGAAACCCTTTGTCACTTCTTCCTTCTCCTTTTCCTCTGCACTGACTCCATCCCCCAGTTCTGACCCACCATTCTTTTTCGGCAACAACCCTGTGGGCACTGGCTTTTGGCCAGGACTATCAATCAAAAAGCACTGTGCACTATTTTGTTTCCTTTCTTGACAGATTTTTGCTGTAATATGAAAAAAGGCTAAAGAAGTGAAGACAAAATATGGGAAAGTTATAAGTGGAAATCCTTGTCATCTGAGCCTTGTGTGAAATTCTCTGCAAGGGGCAGTACATTTGTGCAGGACCAGCCTGGCCAGAAGCACTCCTGTTCCAGGGCTTCAGACTGATCACCTGGAAAGGTGCCTGGGATCGTTGCTTCATTCCCAATGGTCTCACCACCTAGTCAGTTCTTCAGAGAAGCAAGCAGACAAGAGACAGGTTGGGATTTTCTGCCACTCAGCATCATTGTCTTTTCTGCTGCTTTTCCAGAGGTGTAAGTGAGAATGCCCTCCATGTGGCAGGAAGATCGCTGGCCCACAAACTAAAGTAGCAGCTGTGGTAAAAATAGCTTAGAACAGCCTGGCCTAGTCAGATGTGTTGGACTGCGACTCTCAGCATCCCCTAGCAGGAACACCAGAGGTTGTAGTCCAACACATCTGGATGCACCAGGTTGGGGAAGGCTGCGTTTGGGGTTACATGGCCAAAGGGGATCGTGGAGGCACAAAATGAGCCAGAGGCAGGCGCATGCACAGAAGCCGGCAAAGCCTGCCAAGAGCACATGCCTGGCCAGATGAGCAGTGCCATTCTCTGAGATTTTACTAGGCTGTGAGCTGTGCCAGCACAGCAGACTACACAGCCTGGGAAAAGAGTGGGACCCACTTATAAACTGACCTTTACAGTTCTTGCCAAAGTCGCTGCTTCCAGAAATGCTCCTGGGACACAGGCTCCAACTGTGGGAAGGCTGCCCCATTCTGCAGCAGATAAAAAGAGCTGCCCAATCTCATACTTGCCTTGATCGGGGGTGGGTAATTCCGGCAAAGGGGGAAAGGGTTAGGAGCTCAAACTATCCCCACTCATCCACAACTGTCAGTCATTAGCTTCTCTGCAATTATTCCTCACCCTGTCTTTTCCCAAAAGGCAACTAGTCTCCTGCATAAATCCAGACAGATATGTTAGGTATTAGGATTAAGCCTGAAGTTCTAGCAAAGGAAGTTTGACCTGGTCCCCAGGGAGGCTAAGGAGAGTGGGGGGATGAATCAGACAGTCTGCAGACTGAGAACAGTCTGATTTGTGCTGCCTAAACAGCCACTTCCACCTTCCATCAACTGCAGCAAAGGAGCTGCTTTGGGCTTTTACCAATCCAGCCCTTCAGGCTGCCAGGAATGGCTGCTTTCCCACCTCATTTACTTTGGCTTGGTATCTCTCAAATATTGCTTTATCCAAAATAAACCCAGCATTTCCCCAAAGAGACTTCTTCCTGATGCTTAACATAGACCTGCATCACACCCTGCAGCCTCCAAATTCTCACCATACAGTCTTGCCTTGCTTTTTATTACATGGGCTCCAAATCCTGCTCCTCCCCCCCACCACACACACACTTCTCTTTCTGCTTCTGTTACTTGGCACAGACTGTGGATCCCCATTAAAACTTGCAGATTGCTGGCCAGTGTCCATCAATATTTGAAACTGAGACCTCTATACCTCTTTCCCCTTGTTCTTACAGCAAATCTTTCCCCATTTCTCCACTGCAGCCTTCCCCAATTTACACATCCATCACCCTCAGCTAACATGAGGTGATGGGAGTTGTAGTCCAACACATCTAATGGGTGCCTGTTTGAGGAAGGCTGCTCTACTGTCTCCTTGTTTCTTTCCAGGCCCTTGGTTTCCAGTGACACAGCCAGTAAAAAGTACTGCAATATTTTACCAGCTAGCTGCTCTGAGGAGGCACCTTATCACACTAGGTCATGTACATCTGGGAGGATGGGAGGCACATGGGTTGAGGTTCAGTGGGCAATAAACTGGGTTAACAAAGCTAATGCGAGTTACTTGAACATAACATACAGCCACATTAGAACCATGCTGAGGGAATTTTCTGAACTGTCTTCATCCCCATGAGAAACAAAACCTATGGGTTGAATACAAACATAGTCCTACTTAGAGTAGACCCACTGACATCAATGTAACTTCAGTTTGTCATTACCAACCTCAATTCCATTTATTTCAATAGGCCTACTTTTGTATGAACAACCCTAAGTACATACAGTGGTATTTCCCCCCATAATCATTGCTCCCTGTTCCTGCTTCTCCTTCCTTTCAACTTCCCAGTTGTGTTCCTGACTGCTGAACTTTACATTGTAAGCTCCATGGGACAGGGATCTCTTGATCTCTCTTTTATATATTTATCTGCACAATCCTATGAACATCAGAAGCACTAGATAAAGTGAGATAATTCATTAAACTTAAAATCACATTTTCCATCTATCAGACACCCAGTGTGATGTATAATAAAACAGATATTAAAACTTCACATAAAATCAAGAAACATAGGAGCAAAAATCATAACATGAAATTGTACTGCATTCAAATGAAAAAATGATGCATCTAAAAACTTTGCAGAACAAAACAGTTTACTAGCTATCTAAAACAAAATAAGGACTTTGAGAATAAATTTCATGAATGGGACACTGCTACTGAAAAGGCCCCACCTTGAGTATCTTCCAACATAGTCTCTAGGTGGTGGAGCATATAACACAGCCTCCAATAAGGATAGTAATTACAGACACCTCCACAGAAAAGGAGGTGGTCTCTCAGCCATCTGGGCCCCAAACCCAGAAATAAACAGAGTACAGAATACAGAATAAACCAGCACCTGAACTGCGCCTGTAAACAACTGGAAGCCAGCAAAGCCTTTGCAACACCAGCATAATATGTTTTACAAAGTGCACTTCTAAGAAAATTCTAACAGCTACATTTTACCCTAGCTAATGGCTTCTCACTGTTTTTAAGGGTGGCCTCATGTAGAACACATTAACATAGGTCACATGTAAAGTGATTAAAACATGAATCACTGTAACCAGATCTGTGATTCACTATGTATTACAGATAGTCATAGAACCCAACTCAACACTAACATCAAGAGCCACATGTTAAGAATGGCTCTAGCAAACTGGAGTGTATCCAGAGGAAGGCAAATGGGTCTGGAAGCCAAATCCTATGAAAAAATAGTTGAAAAACCTCAGTATATTTAGCCTGGAGATATGAAGATTAAGGACAATCATGATAACTGCCTTCAAATAGCTAAAGGGCTTTCAAAAGTGAAGACTTGGGGAGATAGGATGGCACTTTTCAAGTACTTGAAAGGCTGCCACAAAGAGGAAGGCCAGGATCTCTTCTCAATCATCCCAGAGTTCAGGACACAGAATAATGGGCTCAAGTTTGACCAAGCCAGATTCCAGCTAGATATCAGGAAAAATTTACCGACTGTTAGAGCAATACAATAATAAAGCCCATTACCCAGGGAGGGCTTGGACTCTTCCACACTAGAGGCTTTCAATTTGGAACTGGATAGCCATGTGAGAGGGATGATTAACTTGGTGCCCTGCACTGAGCAGCGGTTGGACTCAATGGCCTTTGGTTCCTTCCAACTCTACTGTTCTGTAATTCTGTGAAAAGATGAAGCAGACTTTTCCACTGTTCCAGAAGGCAGAACTAGAATCAATGGTGGAAATTGCAGGAAAGCAGATTTCTGCTAAATGTTAGGGAAAACATCCTAATGGTAAGTGCGGTTCAACAGTGGAACAGACTGCCCTGAGAAATGGCAGGCTCACCCCTGCTTGAGCAGGGGCAGGACACCCATCTATCAAGGATGTTGCAATTGTAACTTGCACTGCAGATCCTGCACTGAACAAGGGGTTAAGGTAGATGGCTTCAAAGTTCCTCCAACTCTCCTTTTTCTTTTTCTGCTTTAAACATGATCAAATTCTATCTGTAATTTAATCAGCTCTGGGCTCCTGGAAGATTGATGGTGAAAAGGAGAAGGAGTCAGGAATTGGTGTCTGGGGAACAAAACAATTTACTTCTTCCTGTTGTCGGATCACCTGTCTCTCTTCTGTTTCTTGAGGGCTCTCAATGCCAAGGTTGCAACAACCTTCCCTGGGAATGTGCCAGATAGGTTTTCTCAGACAGTTTACACTGGAGCTGCCTCTTCCAGCTGAAATAACAACAGCTGCCTTAACTCAAAACTTTGATACTGGAGCCAATAGAAAAGATGCAAGAGACAGGACAAATGAAAGAAGCAGGGACCAAGACTGGAGGCAACTGAAAGTAGCATCCTATCTGGAAGGCTGAAGGAGACTGAAAAATTAAGCTGGACTCTATCAAATCCAATCAATGAAAACCAGTATGCAGAGACAGAAGCTGAGCAGGAAGCCCTCTGTAAGCACAGGTAGGAAAAATTACGACCTCAGAAAAGCTTTATTCAGTTGAGCAATCATGGAATTATTACTATTTAGACAAGAGAACACCAAAGGGTGCTGTTGCTACATACTATGAAGCAATCTCCAACTTATGGCATCCCCATGAATGAATGCCCTTTGAAAAGTCCACTCCTTGGCAGTCCTGCACAGCTTTTGTAAACTCAAGTCTGTGACTTCCTTGATAGAATTGAACCAGCTCTGGATATAGACTGTATAGGGAGATAGAGGAGGACAAAGGAACACACTTTATTTTCAAAGGGCATACCATAGGAGGTGTTGCCTTAGTTAAAGAGGGCACAGAGCCCAGTAGAGTCGACAATCTAATGTGTGAAGACTCCTCCACAAAATATGGGTGAAAATGTTTCATTCCAAAGCTTAGTCATACAAGTATGCTATTGTCCCCCAGTACAGAATGCCCAGGCTGATCTTGAGGTAGGAATTATCAGAGACCACCAACAAAGGCAATATTGTAATAATGAGGGACTTTATCCCAGTCATGTCCATGAATTGACTGGATAAATGCATGCTGCAGTTCTGATAGAGAGGTTAAATGCCTTGATGTCGTAAATGACTGTGCCCTAGAGCAGCTGGTCATGGTCCCAAGCAGAGGAGAGGCAATCTTGGATTTAGTTCAAGGGGGGCTGCCCAGGACATAGCACAGGATGTAAATGTTGTTGAGCCATTAGGTAACAGTGTCCATGCTGGTATCAGATTTAATATACAGCTAGGTGGAAGACTTCTAAAGAGGTCAGTTGTGTTGACTTCAAAAGATGAAACCTCTCAAAAATGAGGGACCTTGTAAAGAAGAAGCTAACAAGGGGAATCAAGAAGTTTAAATTGCTTCAAAGTGCTTGGGGATTACTCAAAAACGCTATAATAGAGGCACAGATAATATGCATACCACAAGTGAGGAAAGACAGCACAAAGTCCAGGAAATCACCAGCATGGTTAACACATAGAGTCAAAGAAGCTACTAGTGAGAAGAAAGCTTCCTTGAAAAAATGGAAGTCTTGCCCAAATGAAAAGAGCAGGACAACAAACTTGCACAAGGGAGACACAAACAGACAATCAGAGAAGCAAAGAACTAGTTTGAGAAGCATATCACTAATAATAACAAGGCTAAAAATAAAGAATTATTTAAATATATTGAAATAAAGTGGAAAAGGAAGCAGCTGGCAATGAATGATAACAGAATTAAAGAAGCACTAAGTGGGGACAAGCAGGTTGCAGAAAAGCTGAATGAATTATTTTTGTCAGTCTTCACAGCAGAGGAAGCAGAGCAGATACCTGTCCCCGAGCTTAAGTATTCTGGAAGGGAGTCTGAGGAATTAAGGCAGATAGTATGACAAAAGATGAAATTCTCAACCTTATTGACAAACTGAAAGTTGGCAAGTCACCTAGTCTAGATGGCATCCAACCTATGGTTCTCAAAGAGGCTCAGTCCAGATATGATGGAGGTACTGCTGGTGGGGAGTCCATCTGTTTAACTGGGGAATTTTCAACCTGTTCTGGACAAGGTTGCACTCCCTCTACAGGATAAGGTTCGCAGCCTTGGAGTACTCCCAAATCCTGAATTGTCACTTGCTGCCCAGTTGGACTCCATTTCCATTCCATTTCCAGGAGCGCTTTAAATCAGCTTTGGCTGATTTGCTTGGATGAGCAGAGCCTTGTCACAGTTATCCATGTACTGATAACCTCCTGCTTGTTTTACTGTATGTGGAGCTGCCTTTGAAAATGGTCAAGATCTTGCAACTTGTCCAAAATAGGCAACATGCCTGCTGACTAGCACTGGTATTCGTGAGCGTATCACGCCGATCCTATGCAGGTTACAGTGGCTGTCCTGGCCCAATTCAAAGTGCTCATGATGACATATAAAGCCCTAAAAGGTTTGGAGTCATGTTATCTGAAGGAGCATCTTTCCCCATACACACCTGCCCATTCACTGCAGCCTTTATCCAAATCCCTCCATCGCATTCCTTCCCCCCCTAATGAAGTGAGGGGGGAGTTCCCAAGGAGGAGGGCCTTCTCCTGCATAGCACCCCAACTCTGGAATTCAATCCTGTTCAAGATCTAGTTGGCACCATCCTTTTTTGGCTTTTAGGCACCAACTAAAGACTTATCTGTTTAGCAGTTGTTTTGACAGGTGAATTTTTAGGTATTAATAACATTATTTTATACTGTTGCCAATGGGACATGAGGAGAGATATTTAAAGGAGAGATATTTATTTCTAATTTTAATGGATTATGCTTTATTGTTGGGTTTTTATATATGTATATAGTATTTAGTATTTATTAATTCTATTTTTCTATGGTTTTAATCCTGTTAATTTATTTACTGATTTTATTGGCTCTTGTAGTAAATGTTATATTGTGTTTGTATTGTTTTACATTGTTGAATTTTAATATGTTGCAAGCTGCCCAGAGAGCCTATAGCTAGTGAGGCGGCATATAAATTGAATAGATAAAAAAACTCAAATAAATTATAAAAGGAACTGCTGACCTTCTTACCAAATATTTAATATGTCCCTAAAATCAGTCCTTATACCAAAGGATTGGAGATTAACCAATATAATACCAATTATATAACCCTAAAAAGATATCTGGGGGGAAATCCGGGAAATTACATGCCAGTTAGCTTAACATCTGTTCTGGGTACACTGCTTGAAAGCATTACTAAAGATAGCAAGCAAGCAGAGGGCCAGGTTCTGCTGACACACACACACACACACACACACACACCCCGGCATGGCTTCCGCAAGGGGAAGCCCTGGAGTTCTTTGAGAGTGTCAGTAAGCATGCAGACAGGGACAATCCAGTAGACACTGTTTACTTGGACCTCCAAAAAGGCTTTGACAAAAACCCTCACAAAAGGCTCCTGAGCAGATTAAGCAGTAATGGAATAAAAAGAGGGGTCCCTCTTAGGGATCACTATCTGCTTAAAGAACAGAAGATTGAGGGTAGAAATAAATGGTAACTTTTCCCGATGGAGATATGTAACAGGTGGAGTTCCACAGCTTTCTGTATTAGGATCAATGTTTTTCAACCTATTCATAAACGATCTGGAATTAAGAATGGGAAGTGGCCA